AAAACAAAATTTCGTTCTGAAAATTCGATCACATTTTTTATATTATTTTAATTTATATTAATTATTATTTTCTGGAGACAAATGATTAAAAATAAAACCGCTTGGTTCCATACTTTATATTCACCCTGTATGTATTAATTATTATCTCTTTTAGCTGATTTTATATCAGTTATAGAAATAATGTACAACGAATGATCATTGCACAAATTTCGTATGTAATCGTCTATCAATTCAGAGTTCATTACAAATATTTAAAATACAGGATGATTCATAAAGACCGTACAATTACTCGGGTATTTTTTTTTAATTAAAGTTACTCGTAACTTTGTGTATTATTAGAGACGTTAAAGCATCTAGAATATTAAAAAATATATCTTAAGAACAATAAGTAAAACCCCTTTAAAATGTATAAATTTCCTACAAGGGTAAAGTTGGCAACAGCACATCATAAATTTGTTGGTTTTTATAGTAACGAACGTTTCAAATGAATGAGTACAGGCGCAATGTGGTTCAAAATGTACTGCACCGTTGCCAATTTGGACTATCTTTAAATATTCACATCTTCAAAACCACGCGGACAAGAAAAATTATAAAAGCCCATCTGAGATTCTATTAACGTTTTCTATCACCAAACAAGAGATTGTCCGACCTTTTTGAATCACCCTGTATAAGTACTGATTGGTTAAAAAATTAGCTATAAAAACATTGCCGCCGAGTCTCCATTTGTTTTTTTAATACAAGCGTCCCATTTTCTGAAGAAATGATTATTATTCATATTTCAAAAACAGATAGGTACATAATAACAGAAAACTTAAAATTTCTGTGAAATAAATCAGCAAAATATGTCGAGTTTTTAATACATGTTAAAAGATAATAAAAAACTAAATAGTGAATAAAGCAATTCAACAAGTTCAGTGGAGTAATATATTATAATTACAGCAACCCTCATTATTGCATAAACCGTACACGCTTATAGACACAGAAGATGTTTGTAATTCAACTAAAATTAATTAAACAAATACATAACGTGTTAAAGTGGTTAGTTAGTTCGTAATTCCTCCTCTACCTACACAAGTCCTTTAAATAAACATAATTTCAAAGTCCATTACATTTATATGGACATTATGTTTCATAGTCGATCACAAACAACACTTTTAAAAACTTCAATATTGTAAAAATGTTTTATCATTTTTGGTTTTGTAATTTAAATGTCATTTGTTGCCCTCGGTCGGCAACAGTTCCTGCAAATGTTTACAAATCCTTCATTTATCACATGACCTTTTTCCAGTTTGTTTTTACTCTTACACATCTTTGGAAGGTTTCAACAAACCTATTTTAACAACATTTACTCACATGCTACGTGATGAAAAGTCCACATATTATAGTATTTGTACTTTTTTATGTAATGTGACCTTAACTACTACTGGAATCGAAACAGTGCACTTTAATGATTTGTTTACAAGCAATTCGACCGAGCTAATTGTTATTTTTTAAGCAAGATATTACATCATTTTGTAACATTTCAAATTAACAAGTTACAAGTTCTAACTGGGTCAAAAAAGCCTTCAATTCGACATAAATTAAACTAAAAAAACTTCAACACTCGCAAAAAGGACCACAATACATGATTGTTTATTGTTTTATATTCCAGGTCATACAAACAGATGAAAACTGAAGATACGACATTTATGAAAAAGTGAGTCAATATTAAAAATTCTTGTACTTGTTTTTGGCTCCTTCCTCGAATGAAACGATGAACTCGATACATCCTTGCCAATGTGCGAAAATAGCACCAAGACAAAGAAGATAAATTTCACTTATGACTCGTCAGAAAATACAAAAGAATGATACACCACACTATTTCTATTAACTAGAACAACTATTTATAGGTTTTTTGTGTCATTAATTCAGGTGCTAACCCTTGACGAGCGTTTGGTCACGTTTGACCAACCAATGGATGGTTTGCTGTCATTCTAATGAGAAATTTTGAATCATGATCCAATCTTATCTGAAATGTGTCTAGTAAAAACAATGTTTTTAAGACTCGGAGTCTGCCTCAGTCTTGCCTCACAGAACCGGTTATTCTGGAAAAATGACGTAATCTATGCGTAAATATCGATAAATTTGGGCATTGGAGAGGCATGTCAGAGAGAGAACAAAGAGAATAAAAAAAGCAGAGGTTCCGAACCAGTCTGTTTACAAATAAACGTTTCACATCAAAAATTACATTACCACACACCTGGATCGTAGTTTTCCGCTTCTTCTAATATCCTTTCGACCATTTTTCAGTTTGCCTTTTGATTGATGAACTAAATTGAAGATAAGTTGTCCCGAAAGAGAAACAAAGGGATTCTGTCGACTAGTTCCTTCCCTTTGGATGCGTTTTTAAAGGAAATATTATCGAAGCTGAAGCAACGATGGGCCGGTGTCACAGATAATGATTTTTAGTAGGCACAAAGAAAGGATTTATTGGTTTTTATCACTCTATCTACCCATCTTACAATCCACACTCCACTGATGTTAAATTCCGACTGGTTTATTGTGCGCTCCGCGAACCACCGCATCTCTTCCGATGGTCACGTAGGCGCGGTGGGGCGCGTGCGTATCACAACGCTTACGTGGTATCGTATGATTTTCTGTTTGTGTTGGGTGCACTGACAATTGCACACGGAGGTTCCCCTTTCTAGAACGATTTTCCTCCACAAAATTCAACTTTTCGACCGAATAATAGACAAAACCCGAACTTTATACAATGAGCTAGCAGCAAAGTTACCCCTTGCCCATTGCGGAAACAATTTTTTTTTTGAGAAAAAGTACCACATTCCTAATTTGACAAGTCAAAAACCACAAATTAAAAAAAATAATTAAAAACAGTCACATTTTACATGAAAACATGAGTCTCTAGAATATTCCACCCGGTCAATAGCCGTTTCAAAGAGAACCTTCTAGAGAAATTTGTGTTACTAAGCCATTCTCGTTTCAAAATTGCGAAATTCTAGTATATTGCCAGGTTTTTTTTTAATTATTATATTTATACTTCTTCGTGTGGCTACTTCAAATTCATCTGAACTTTCAAAAGAGAGTATTGTGTTCTATCTAATATTCGAAGTAAATTGTCACCAATATTTTACATATTAAAAAAAAATTTTGCATCACCCTTTATGTTTGTCCTGATGTCGAATAGTATGATGCAATATTTTACCAAAGGTGTGAAATTGTGAAACTAAACTAACGTGATTATGATTATTTTCTGTTTTGACTGATTTGTACATCAAACATGGTCAATATTCCTATTAAAACAAAGTAATTTTTATTTATAAAGGCATGATTTTTTTTTTCAACGAACCTTTCACGAAAATTTATTCCGAAAAACACCAAAATAATAGTGACTTATTATTTAGTCACTAAAAGTGCAAATAGTATTCTAATAATAATACTGACCAATTCGCGTGAACCTTCAATGAAGGGTTACAGACATGTGACACCCGGTTTTTTTCTATAAGTGATTTTTTTTAATTTTAATCAGATGTAAAATTTAATAAAAGATTTCAACACAAACAAATTAAAGTTGTCACCAAATATTCCAGAGATTTAAAAATTCTTGCATCACCCTTTATTACGTTTGTTCTGATACTTGATAGTATGATGCAATCTTTGCCCAGGGTGTGAAACTGTAAAACCAAATCTGAAATTTAAAATAGTATTTTTTTCTTATGAATCATTTCATAAACCTACACAAAATTCGTCAAAATTTACATTGAGAGTTTGTTCTTTTAAATTAAAAGAAAGTGAATTTCTTCTATTTAAATTGTTAAATGCTTATAGCACGATTTATTTTTAATTAACTAATATTTAAGAAATTTATTTTAACAAATATCACATTTGTACACAATAGTGACTAATACTTATAATAATACTGAAAAGGAGCTATAACAACTCTAAAACTTTATCTCTACATTGCCCTGATACCTGGTAATGTTTTGCACTGAGTGTGAAACTGTAAAACCAAATCAAAAGTTGAAAATGTTTAGTTATTATTATTATTATTATTTGATTTTGATGTGAAATAGTTTGTTTTACAATTTTTATTTTGTCATTTTGATTGAACTTGTGATGATTTCGGTTATTCTCATTTATGTTGTATTATTACTAATTACTTTTTTTTTGTTGTTTTTATTTTTGAGATTCACCTGAGTGGCCCTCCCCTCGACTTCACCCACCATTATTTTTACTTTCCACAAAAAATATTATTTTTATTATTTCTAGACCCGAAACTGGCAAACTTTGTATTGAAAGTATTCTTTCATTTAATGTCTATTTAAAATGTGAAATTGAATAATGAATTATTTTTTTAATTAACTACTTATGGAAATATAATATTCCGAAAAACACCAAATTTGCATATACCTACAGAATAGTGACTAATACTTATAATAACACTGATAATGACTTTTGATACTGAATGACTCACCGAAAGTAGGTATTATTGAAATTTACATTTTTTTTATTGTTGAGACTACATAATATCACAGATTAAAAGATTATCAATAACAAAAATTATTAAATTATATTAAAAAAATTAGTTCAGGTAAAGCAAAAAATTTTTTTCCTTTACAAAATCAAAAATAAAAATTGGTTTCCTCTTGTAAACTGTAAATTTGTAACTTAATATAAAGTAAAAGTATCTGGTTTTCTTCAAAACAAATTGTGCTTTGATTAAATAATAATAATTCAGTGTCGCTAACAGATTTTGCCACAATATCACCCCAACCTTTGTAATAGTAAACGGCAACAAAAGCCCTTTTCACTTCCCAACAAAACAAATTTTTATAAATATCATCATTATCAGTTGTTACTTTGATCCCTTTAATACATTTTTGACCCAAATTTTGACATAAATGACGCAATCTTGCTCAAATTTGCATACGACTTGCAAAATAATGATAAAAATTATCAAAATTTGTAATTTTCATCAGTCAATGTACTTTGAAGATTAAGTCAAAACAAAATGAAGTGTTATTAAAAACATTAATTTGTTTGTTATCATCAAACAATAGATATAGAATTTTTGTACCTTAATAAAATTGAAAACTTGGATGTTTTGTTTTTGTTTCTTAAGTGGTAATCTACTATAAAAGTTTTTTCTGACAATTAACAAAATTAAAACTATCTAGACAGAAATAAATTATTATTGATTATTATTATTATTTCTTCTGAAAGCAGAGTTTAAAAAACGCCTGGTTTCATATTTTTGTAACTATTGTTAGGGTAAACTGGTCGTTTTTTTTTATAAAATTTGTAACATTTTATTAATTTTTGGAAAACGAAAATTTCAATAAAATAATTCAATGTGTTAATAAATCTAATAATAAAAACAAAAATTTAAAACAACCAATTTTTTAAAACTCTTTATTTCAAACGAGACAACTATAAACCAAACTAACCACTTATTACAGTTATCTAATTATTGTTGTCAGAGTTGTGTTTACTTTTACCATTTTTCTGTTTCTAGTCCAGTAATAACCTCAAGACATAAGTAAAAAACGGAGGTTATAAATAATTTGATATTGACACCAATTGTTATCAAAAACGTTAGCTTTAGAACGATTAATTTGCGCAAAGTTAAATCAATCAAAATAATCTGAATTATCATTTGCGATAATAAATGTAATAAACAAATGTTCACAAAAAAAAACGCTAAAACATGGAATATAAAAATGACCAGACAAAACGACCAGAGAATTTTCTAGAATTCAGTCAACTGCATTTAAACTCAATGTTATTTTGATAATGAACTGACGTCAAATTTTAATATCGAAAAAGGAAGATTCCATGGGACTATGCGGCACCTATATTTTACACAATCAGAAACATCATAATAATATTATTAAACGGAACAATTTTTGATAACAGCAACAATCGCCAAAAATAGATTATTTAAACAATAACAAACACGACAAATGCGCAATTTAAAATTTTTATCTGAACGAATGAATATAATAGGTGTTTGACTCACAAATTTTTGATTATATCCTCGTAATCGAAAAACTCACCTTTCCTCGATGTAGCCGCTGCATACCTCTTGGCTTGTTTAGTACAGTCTGCCTCCTGTGAGAAAAAAAATAATTAAGTAACACTGTTGTAACGCAACGATAATTTGGAAATTTAATTCAAGTTCAAGGTTTTTTTCCACTGGCTAGGAACCACGACGAACAAATTTACCAGCATTATAACAACAAAATAAAAACAAATATCAAGACCTTGGGCCAAACAAAAGTGTTGTTACAATAAATTTGTATTCTTGGATGCTGATTTTGGGAGTTTTTGAGACGTAAATTCTATTGCGCCGCTGTTTTTTTGCGGTGTTCGGAGAGTGATCAAATATTTAAAGGAAAGCCAAAAATACGCAAGCGATTTATTTACAGCACAATACCATCGGATGGTGCACTAAATCAAAATGTTTGCGTTTCGCATTATTTGTGCTTCAAATATTTGCATTTTACTTATTTTTCATAAAGAAAATCAATTACCAAAAAGTTCAAAAAAAACTATTGATATTTTAAAAGAGGTGTCCAAAAACAACAGAAGATAATTCAATCTTGGCGAGATCAAGATGTAAGATTGTAATTCAAAAATTATTTAAAAAATAGCTCATTTATTTTTGGAAAAATTGAGGTGGAAGATTTTATCGAAACAAATGATTTATGATTTTATTACAGAAACAATTTTGACAATAATGATCTTCGTGTAGGCAGCTCGTATATGGAAATTTTTGTGAATATTTGAAAATTTTTTCTCAGAATTTTAGAAATCACAAGATTTAAAAAAAGAATTACACAGTTTCTTTAGTGTCATAATTAATAATATTTTTCCTTTTATAGGTATTTGTAGATGGGCTGACGCAACACAGGACTGGTCACCTAAAAATCAAACCTGGTTGTGAATTAATTATAAACTTGTATGTCGCAGTATAATTTCCAATTTTTAATTCACTGCCTACGCAGATTTTGAATGTTTGCAAGCAAAAAAAAACTAAACAAAATATTATTGAGTTAGCGCAAAATAGCAAAATCACTCTTAAACAATTCATAATAGCAAAACTAGAGAATTCACTTACGAGGCAAAAACAAAAACTTGATAATTAATGTTTACCATTTGACTTGTATTTAAATTTCTAATTAACTCCTAAAAATATTATTTTTAACTAGCTTTCTGATTACAATTATATAACAAATGATGCTGCACCAAATCGATAAAAGTTTAATAATGTAACAAAACAATATGTCTTGTTAGATAAACAGGTCAAAGATTTTGTAATGAAATCACATGAATAAACAAAAAACTACAAATTACTTCAAATTTTGCATTTATGAAAACAACATTTTTTTATATGATTTGTGCAAGTACTATGTAAAAAATTAGAAATATTTATAATTGCTACGCACGTGTCTCCATAATTGAATGAATAGTTTTGTTTCAAAGTAAGTACACGATAAGTAAAGTAATGAAGTTTTATTTTTTTAGTTGTAGAATATTAAAGTCGGTAGACTTTTTGAAAC